CCCACCTGTCCTGCTGGACTCCAACAGAGCTCACCCTTGTCTTTGCATCAGGTACTGCTGAATGAACCTTGCTCAGGTGCCAGACAAAGAGGCAGCCAAGCTCAGAGCAGAAGGGATTGTGAGGGTGACACAGAATTAACAGGCATCAGCATTCAGCAAGCAAGCGGAGAATGCGTCGATCTATTTTTAATGGTACAATGAGAGTGCTTTACAAAAGGATGTGTCTGGGGAGATTCTGCCCAGTCAGAGATTTGCATTCGGGTTTTTTTGCAGCAGTCAACTTCCCTTGATGTGCGGGAGGCATTTTGTCTCTTTACCACCCCACGGAGCGATTCAGAGGGCCCTGGCTCGGTTTTGGCTGGAGGCTCATCCCTCTGGGTCACCTTCCTGCCCTGGGTCACCTTCCTGCCCTGCTGCATCCTTCTGACTTTCCACCAGAAGACCTGACCTGACGTGAGCAGCAGGTAAGGTGTACAGGACAGCTCCAGGCTTCCCTGGCTTCTGGGTGCCAGCCCTGCTGAGCCAGTGGGGACATCTCTGCGAGGTGCCCGGCAGCAGCAGAGTGGTTAAGGTGGCTTCTCATGGGCAGGCTCCAGGCAGCAGCGCTGGCACCCTCTCTGCACCAGCCCTCACTCAGCAGCCTCAAGTGCCGAGCGAGGCTCGGGCTGCGCCCGTCCGCTCCCCACGCAGGGCTGCCGGCCAAGGCAGCGAGGATGGCATGAATAACTGCACTCAAGCCACGGCTCGAGGAGGACCAGGCTGCCATTGCAAGCTTGGAAATGAGGGTTGTTAGAGGCAACGCAAGAACAATCAGATGTTGTAGACACTTCTTGGTTCCTTCTTTTCAGCAGAGACGGAGGGACCCTCTTTGTGTGGAGGGTCTGGATTTCAATGGGAGACGCGCGATTCACGCAGGCACAGGTTTAACGTGTGGAAAGGGCTTGACTTACTCGATGCAAAAAACCTGCAGTGCCCTAATAGACTGAAATTTCTCCCCGAGCTTCTGCTGCATCAGCTGAATTACCATGTGCTAGCTGTAGACAGCAGAGCTCCTCAGAGAACTAAATCCCCTATTAAAGAGCTGAAAAGAGGCGAGCTGAAAAGCGGGGATGCAGGCACACTGCGCACCTCCGTGGTGCCGGATGAGTAATGCGGGGTGACAGAGACGGACCGGAAAGACGCACTGCATCATTAGCGGGGCTGGAGGACGTGGTGGGGGACAGCATGCCAGGGTCATGCTGTCACTGGAGCCTCCATGCAGGATCAAAGCAGTGGTCCACCTCATTCATGTCCCCTCACCAGCACTGCCTAATAACAGGTATCCTACAAAAGCCTTGGAGAAGCAGGGCGGTGGGTATTCATGGACTAGTCATGCAATAATTTAGGCTTAAAGGGACCTCAGTGGTTCAGCTGGTCCAACCCCTCTCTCCCTTAAAGGAGAACGAGCATCAACACCAGAACGGGTTGTCTTGCCCTTCTGTTGCTAAATGACTTGTTCCCAGTCATCAGTGGGAACAGTCATCAGTTCCAGTCATCAGAAATAATGCCCCTCATAATGCAGAAACCCTACACAGAGAGCCTCTTTTGCAAACTGCTAGAGGACCTTGAAGGACTCGGGAGAAATTCCTGAAGAATACAAGGTCTCTGACCCAAGAAAAGGCTTTATTTAAAGAAAATACAGTAAAAGCAGACAAGACATATATGCACATATTAGGGAACCATGAGCGTTTTCCACACACAAAAAAAAACATGGAGAAAGGCCTAAGAGGAGTGTGAAGAAAATAGGAAACCTAAGAGGGATTTCCGGCCCCAGATAGGTTCCTAGGAGTCTCTTAAGTTTAGGCTTAGTGCACACAGCCCCTGCATTTCTGTCCTGTTTACAACAGGAGACTCTATGTACTGGATCAGCTTCCAGTGAGCACCTCCAGGTTCTCCTCTGAACCCAGCCTGTGCTACCACTTCACCTTTTTTCTGAAATGGTGATCCTTCCATGACACCATGCAAACAATACTCATTGCTTTGGGAAACTGGAGATCCAAAGCACCAGAACCAACCCCACAGAAGCCCTGGGCAAAGCAAGGAAAGAAGCCTCCTGCACATCAGCCTAGATTAACTTGTCCAGCTGGGTCTAGAAAGCCTCAGAGGAAGAGCCAAATAGCAGAGAAGTGGAGCTGGCCATCCTACAGGAGTCATGGCAGTCTACAGCACAGTCTGAGCAGGGCTCTGTGCTGTGCACAGTACCCCAGCGTAGCCCACCTTACTCTTAATCTCCTTTCTTGAAGGGAGATTGTTGAGAACCAAAGGAGTGTCTTGGACAGCATGGACCAAAGGTTTGGGGCAAAAAGTCCAGAAACATCTCTTGGAAGAGAAAGAGATGTTTTCCTCTCCATGACCTCATGACAGGGTGACCAAGGCACCGACCATGACCAGAGCTTGGTATGTTCCACCATGGTCTCAGCTGCTGGCCCACTTCTGGCACAACAACTGTGCCATGGGGATGGGACACATGTCACGGTCTCCCCCTCCATCAGATGAGCAGGCAAAGCCATCACTGGGGTGCACTACACCGCTCACTGCCCCTGCAGGAACCTGCTCTACCACTGATCACACCACAAGCTCTGCCTGGCTTTGACAGCAGCCCTGACACCAGCAGTGCACGGCATCCTGGCACAATCAGTTTTTACCCTCCCTCACACTCCTTATAATCCTGAAGTACACCCAGGTCTCCTGAGCAAGCTTGAGAAAATCTTGAGCACAGAGCTTGTTTAGCTTCTTATCTGATGAATGCTCCCAGGCCACTCGTCTCCCTTCCAATTACGTCAGGTGCTCCTTCCCACTGGCATCAGGCGGGACAGGTGTATCTTCAGAGAAGAAATGTAAGGCTTGAAAAACAGGTTTTAAAACCCAGAGGGCATGGGGATGCAGAGGAGTGTCAAAGCTTTCCCCACAGTATGACTGCATTGCCGCTCTGGCTGCAGGAGTTTCTCTGCATAGCAGCAAGGAAAAGAGTGCAGGGAGACCCAGAGACCGTGAGCACCTGGGAATTTCTGCAACCACCTCCCCCTTAACACTGCCATTAAACACATGGCAGAGGGCAAAACAGGCTACAGACTCTCCCTGGCTGTCCTACTGGGAGAGAGGGGTCAGCAGTCACAAGCTCCTTCTCTTCATTGCCTCCTTTTCCACCAGATTCAGTTTGCTGGCACAGTTTCAGTATGATGGCAGTGTCCTATGAGCCTGCACCATAAATCAGGGCTGCCAAATGCTGGAGCACCTCCTTTTCCTCCTCCCATTCTGGATAGTGTGAACATGGTCTGCACCTGACTGTGCCCAGGGCTTTGGGAGCTGAGCTGTGCACCACAGAAATGAATCTCTGATCCCCAAGAAAAGCCTTGTTTAAATGCAAGGAAGCAAATCCAAAGAGGAAAAACCCTCATCCCCCATGCAGATTACAGCAGCTGGTGCAGAGGTAACGGGTAGGGATGGAATGGGGACTCACTCATACTCATGCCAAGAGAAGTCACTTCACAAATCCAGAGGCACAGTGGGTTTCCAGCCTTTTGGGGGGTTTCCAGCCTGTAGAGGTTTCCTAAGGGAGGACAGGGTTGCGCAGGAGAGAAGAGAGTTTTCTCCCACCTCTTAAGATCCAATTTGGCAGCATGGGACAGACACTACTGCTTAGTCCTACCCAGCCCTCAGGGGTGTTTTTGTAGTACACTTTTACTGCAATGTCACTTTACGTTGCATTTAATATTAGGTGAATATAAGCTCTCCAAGGGCTCAGGGGCTTTCTCAGTGAGGTACCTGGCACCCAGCAAAAGCACACTGCAGACAAACATGGTGCAGTATTTGCAGGAATAATCTCCATGCAGAGTCCCCAGTGAATGCTCCTAAGGACTCTGACACTTTGCTCAGCTCTCCCAAGCTTAGCTGAGGATAGACTTTAAAGAACAATGCTAGATCCAGGTTCTCCTTGCCTTATGTCTAAGCAAGGACAACTGAAAGCCACGGGAGGACAGTCTGTTGGGTTAGAAGAGTTTTGGTGTGAGCTGCTGACATCTCTGCTTGGAAACCTTCCAGCCTCAGGTTTGAGCCTCTCAATTGTGTTGCCAACAGACCAAGGGCAGGAATATCTGCGTGCTGCCATTGCAAAGAGGCATGTGGGCATCCCTGTGCTGCTCACACTCTCGCCTGTCTACTCTTGTCCCAGCCATTTAGACAATCCTGCACATCCAGGCTCTGCCACTGTGGCTGTGCCATGCAAAATTTGGGATGAGACACCGGCAAAGTCCTTGAAGGTGTTTTAAAATCCCAAATACGCTATGGCCAGGAGGATTTTCTTGGTGGCACAGCTTATTTCGTTTCGGGAGCTGGTACAAGCAAAATCAAAAAGCGAGTGCAGGAACCGCCATGCAGACCCAAACCCCAACAAACCTCTTCTGCAGAGAGAGTCCTCCCGGCACAGCCGCCCTCCGACAGCGCCAGCAGAGGCACACAGAGGCAGGGCCAGACCCAAAAGCACCGATTCCTCCCGAAAACAAAGCTCTCCACAGCCGCCTTTGGGCGCAGGCAGCCGTGCCTCCAGCCCTTGCCTCAGCGCAGGGGGATGAGACAATGCAAGCCAATGCCAAACACCGCTCCACGGGCAAGCTGTGCTCAAGGTTATCATGGCCCCTGCACTGCCAGGTGCAATCCTCAGCGCTACCTGCTCGGATATCCTCGCCCTTTCCTGCGGGAGAGGGCTCTGCCTTACTCCCCCAAATCACAGGGAGATGGAACCTCTGGCAACCATTCCCAACGCATTCGTCATCGCCAGCTGCTTGGGACAGGGATGGTCTCTCCTACATATGCTTATGCAGCACCCAGCTCCCAGCAGGGAGCTGTGGATAGCTACCGCAATCCGAGGGATAAACGCATCCATGCCTAGAAAAATCCAAATATCCCTATCAGAACAGCACTGCACCGCGTTCTTCCTTCCAACGAAACCGCAAATTACTGACCTGTTCACAGAGCTCCCCCAATGCAAGCTGAAGCACTGACATCAGCTTTTGCTGTTGCTCAGGAATTTAATTCTGGGGGAGGAGAAAAGGGAGGGGGGAGCAGGAAGGAGAAGGAACTTATTTATCAATAAGGGAAATAAACAGGAATCTTTAAAAACAAACAACGCTCAGCACAGAAAGCAACATTTGCCACTATATAATGATTGAGGGTGTGTGGCGGGTGATCAATCGGTCCAGGCACATTAGGGGAGGTGCAGAGGATTTTTATAAACGAGCAGCTTAACTCGTTAATCGCGAGCAGCGCCTTTGGAGCCGCAGCAACGAAGTCTTGCATGAAAACCCCCGCTGCTGAACACATGCCGGCTTCGTTTAAACGCCAAGGACACAGGGCGACACTCCAACCTCTTTCATCATCAGAAAAACCACAGTGCTGTTAACACCGCTTCCCCAAACACCAGCCCTCAGCCCCGCCAGAAAGCCCCTCCACCCGCGACCCCCGGCCCGGCAGGACAGCGGCGATTCCGCGGAGCTTCCCGAGCCCCCTCCTCACCTGCACCACGGCCGCCCGGCAAGCGCGCACCGCCGAGGCAGGGTGGGATTTCCAGCGCCCCCCCGCCCGAAAACAAGCGCAGCATCCCCGACATGCGCGGCCGCGGAGCGCCAGCCCACCCCCCCCCCCCCCCCACCCAGCCCCCGCTTCTTTCCCCAATCCCCGCCGTGGGGCTGCTCCCTTCCCAGCCCCGGCACTTCACACGCATCATCCTCGCTCGCACCGGAGCCGTTCCAGCGCTCACGGCCGCGAAGCGCCGTTCCAGTGCACACACACGCACATACACCGGCACATGCTGCCGCGCTGCCCGCCGCCTCAGGGCGCGACGCCGGCTCCGCTCCCCACACTGCGCGGGCGCCCCGCACCGCCCCCCGCGCCCCCTCCCCGCCTGCCCCGGGGCGCGGGGCCCCGTCCCGCACGGCCACGGCGCGGACGCGGCGGGACGCGCACTGACCCGGCGCGGCGGGCTCGGCGGCCGCCCCGCTCCGCTCCGCGGGCTGTCCGCTGGCGCGGCCGCTGCCGGCGCCGCAGGGCCCGCATGCCCTGAGGGGCGGGCGGGGGGGGCCCGCTCCGCGCTGCTCCGCGCTGCTCCGCGCCGCTCCGCGCGCCGCCGGGAATGCGCCGGCGATGAGGTCATGCCTCGGGAGCGAGCGGGGGGGGGGACGGGGGAAAGGGAGAAAAAAAAAAAAAGGAAAAAAAAAAGAAGAAGGGTAAAAAAAAAAGAGACAGCGTTGACGTCACCCGCAGCCAATCAGCGCGGGCGGCGCAGGGCAGGGTGACGTCAGCCCCGCGGGCGCGGAGCGGCGCGCAGGGAGCGGGCGCTGCGCCCCGGGGCCGGCGCCGCTGAGGGCTCGGGGGCCGGGACAGAGCGGGCCGGGCTCTAACCGGGGTCACCCGCCAGCCTGGGACACCCCCGAGCCGCGCCGCTCCTGGCAGAGAGCGCGCTGCCGTGCGGTTCTGGGTCACGGATGGTTCCCGGGTTGCCTAGCGCTGCGAGGCTGAGCCGAGAGCGCTCCCGCAACTGGGGCCACCCCTACCGCCTGTCACCCCTCTGCCTGCTGAGCTGGAGCAGCCGGGACCTGCGGGGCGCCCCACGGGACTCATTCTCCCTGGGGTGCCCAAGCTGCAGAAGGACAGGCGTAGGGACAGCGCGGTCTTGGAGGGCGGCATGGTGAAGTGTGACCAAAAATCAGGAGGAGTCTGACCCACGGGTCAGTTTCTGGATGGATGGAGTGGGCTCCATCCCCATCCTGGAGCTCAGGGCTCCCCATCCTGCTGCGGGTTCACCAAAGAACTGGCCTGGTTACACGGCAGGGGCTTTTCTCTGCCCTTGGCCCTGGCGTGGCAGCTCCAGCTTAGAGAGGGATTAGGGTTTAGAAGCTTAGGTTTTGCTGGTGCTTAGGAAATGAAGGGAACCTTCCTCCCTGCCGATACAGATGCCGGATGTTTTAAAATTAACTCTCATGTCTCCAGACACGGGGCCGGCAGCTTGCTCAGGAACGTCGAGCTCCCACAGTAACTGGCGGCAAAATCTTTCCCAGAAATGTCATTTCTCACAAAGCACCAGAGGTATAAAACCCGGGGATGCTAAAAAGTCTCGCTCTCCCCATTGCATAAGCAACACTGAGTTCATGCCCTTCTCCTAAGCGCAGAAAATCAGCTCACCCAAAGCTGTCAGCAGGGAAACTTTTACAAAATGAGGGATATTCTACCTAAACTCATGGGTTGCAGCCCAGTTATCATAATCAGTGGCAAGATGCTGGGGTAGCACGGGCACTTGCTGCTTTAGTGGCATGGGAACACTCGGTCCTGGTGGGAGCTGGAGCAGCAGCATGACCGGCATGGCTGGAACAGAGCCTTTCCTGCTGGTTTTCCTGCCCAGATCCCTCCTTGTGGCCATGCAAAGCACCCAGATGGGGAAAACCAGAGAAAACCTAGGGAAAACCTTCTCTTGCCTCAGCTTTGGACTGTTTCCTCCCCTACCCAACACCCCTTTTCTGGAGCAAAGCAGGAAAAAAGAGGGGGAAAGGAATGAGCCTGAAAATCCCAAAGCTTCCTCATAAAAGCTGTTATCTAGGCAGAGAGCCATGAGCTCACAAAACCTGCTGAAGGAAGAGGATTTAAACAGTTTTTTTTTCCAAACTCCAGTTAAAATCAATGTTTCCAATACTGGACCTGGCACATCCCAGATGAGCTGTCAGGAAGATTGTTCCCTGTCTGTCCAGTGGCATGGCACAGGGGAGGAGAGTGGGAAGCAGATGTAAGAAATATGTTGAGTTTGGAGCAGGCAAGGGATGGGGAGGTGATGAGGATGGAGGGTCCTGAGGGACACCCTTGAACTGTACATTCCAGCAAGGGACCAAGCTGAGCTCCCTCTTGAGCCTTCATCCCTGGCAACCTCTCCTCAGCTAATCCATGGGTGCCCCTGCTGCATCCCTGGCTGATGCGGACACAGGAGATTTGCCCCACACAAATCCCCACTGGCAGCAAACAGGAGGAGCAGCTCCAGCGGGCTGGGGACCAGTGGGACACGGGTTCTCACGGCCACGGGAGTGGCTCCAGCCCACGAGCCTGCATCTCTCCCACGCCCACTGCTTCTGCGAGAGGCGCTGCCGCCAAGCGCCTGGTGGGGAGAAACCAAAACAAATGATTCACTGCGGCTAAACTGCTCCCGGGATCGCAGGGGCCGGGAGCAGGCGTCAACTGAGGCTTGCAAAACCTACCTGCCTCCCAAAGCTGGGAGCTAACCCTGTTTGGATCCCAGTCCTGCTCAACTTGATATTCTGGCGTTTGGGTGCGGACCCACGGCTGCATGGAGGTGGGCAGCCAGCCCGAGCGAGGGCAGCGCTGCGAGCTCACCTGGTCAGCTCTGCATGGCTCGGGTCATCCCTATCACCCCTGTTTTCCCCAGGGGAAATTAGGCTGGGAGAGCCAGGGCAATGCTGTAATGGTCAGGCAGGCAGAACAAAGCAGGCTCGTCTCTAAGCTCCATCCACCAGATGTGGATCTATTGTCTCAGCCCCAGGGCCATCACACCCCCCTCTCGTCACAGCCATCACCAGCTGAGCAAAAATTACACAGCAAGGTGCTTATGGCTAAAGGAAAGCACTCTGTTTCAGGTAAAGCACTTAAAAAATAATTCACCCCACTCAGGTTTTTCCTCTCTCCCAGATTTCAGGCACATCCAAAGATAGATTGCATCCCAGCTACGTGTTTCAAATGCAAGTTATGCTTGTACACGTAATAGTTCTTGCTGAAACGTTTTCCAGGCCCCCTAATTGCCATGGCAGGCCAAGTGCAGAAGAGTGCAGCAGAGCCTTCTGCATGCATCCTGCAGGGATTAAAACTGGAACCTGATCATGAAGGAAACTAAAACTAGTAAAAAGGAATTGCTGCCAAACCAACTTTCTTACCCATCAAAAAAAGAGAGACTTTTGTCAACTTGCAATTTCTTTAAATGGCCAAATAATATTTTTTTTAACCTATCCTAGTTATTTAGAGGCAGTTGCTTGCACCACTGGCTGAGCCAGCATCCCATCACCCTCACTCAGCAGGGCTGGCTGTGGCACAAGATGCTGTGTTCCCAGCATCTTGTGGGTATCTTGAGGGGGTATTGGCACCTCAAAACTGTGCTGATAGCTGAGGCCAGAGTCAGCCTGGGGCTGGCATGGCTCTGCTTCTTCCAGCCTTGGCACGTGCTTGCGTGTCACCCTTGCTGTGACATCCTGGAGTGGGGCACAGTGTGGTGCTGGAGGAAGGGGCTTGTCAGGCGTTGTATCCCTTGTTCTGTTCATAAAGAAATGTGTTGGTGTGGTGAACTCCACATCGACTTTGAGAAGGGCATCACTCCCTTCTCTGGTGCCTGTCCATGCTCTCCCAGCTCTCCCACCTCGTGTCTGGGATGGACACGCAGATCCCTGTGCACGCCACCTTCTTCCTGCAAAGCCCCAAATGGTGTCACTCAGTGAAGAGAGCTGACATGCTTGAGCAGCAAAAGACACTTACAGCATCACCAGGCAGGTGTGTTTCTCACACAGGGGCTGCCCTGGATCTGTCTCCATTTTCCCAACAGGAGAATCTGCCTGTGTGCAGGGTGGCCCAGCCCTGGCAGCGTGCAGGGCGGTGCATGCACGGCGCAGGAGCAGCTCCCGTGCAATTAATCGCAGAAGGAGCGGGCTGGAGGGCTGCGTGCTGTGCCATTCAGCTCAGCACATGCTGCAGAAGCATTCATTCTGTAGCTCTGACTGTGCCACAAGGCACTCCTGCCAAAGGGGAAAAGGAAAAGTAAATCATCATACAGTGAATAAAGTCCCTCTGATTCCCTCTGGCCCGGCACACTGGAGGAAAGCTGGGCAGGAGCGTGGAGATGTGCCAAACACGGGGCATGGCTGCTGCGAGCTGGCACGATGGGTCAAAGTCAGGGGATGGGAGGGGTGCAGGAGCAGGACCTTTGCACTGGCATGAGGCTGTTACAACAGAGGAGCTGCTTTACAGTAACACTCTCAGGTGCAGGAAGCATTCCTGCTCCTTTGCCC